GTTTTGCTGGTTTAGCTTTTAGCTAATGTTTTGCTGGTTTAGCTTTTCTCTTCTGTTGACCGATTCATTTAATCTTTCAGCTGTTTCCTAGTTTTAGCTCTTGTTCCGCTGGCTTTAGCTTCTATCTTTCAGCTAGTGTCGTGCTGCTTCAGCTAAGCTCTCGCGTGCAGCTGCTGTTTAGCCTGTTGTTCGGAGCCGCCAGCTCCTTCAGCTCCTGACACAAACTTGTCTTGTCCCGTCACAAATGTCCTCCAGCAGCCGCTGAGCTCGGAGCTGCTCTTGGAGGTAGCCATTACTGCTAACACACGAGCGGAACCTGGAGTGACGGGAGCCGGAGAAGAGCGAGACTTCAAGTGTCCGAGACGTGTTCTCTTGCATTCGGAGTGTGACGGCTACGTGCCGTTTCCTCCATGAACCGTACGTCCCTTCGTAACTCTGCATTTTAACTCCGCTCCCCCTCAAAATGACGTCTCCCTGTGCGGCGGCACGTACGGCAAACAACGGCACGGCGACGACGCCGTTGCCCCTCCGTTCTCTACAAGCCCGGCTGGCCGAGCCTCTGTACGGCGAAGCTCCCGGTTCTTACTGGTTTTTATTCGGTGGGAGCGGCCGCAGCTGTGCATGTGTAAACACAGAATGAAGGAAAAGCCTGTTCTTACCGTTTTACGAAGACAAATGCATCCCTAGATTTGTTGAGCTTGTGCGCATGCGCTGTTGACTGGCGTCGCTTAACTTCCTGCTGAACAGCGCTCGCGCTGTTTTCATGCTCTTCAAACTGAAAATTCAATAAATTCACGTGAATCGACACAAACTTATGATCGATAACGGAGCTGTCAGAAGCGTGTTCAGGGCTCAGTCGTTCAACTGTGCGTAAATATCGACAACGTGAACGTCTGAGTGGAACCTACAGCTGAAGCCGTATAAGAGCAAAGAATAAAGGTCTTTAAAGGTTTACACTCGAACACCTTCATGTCTTAAGAGTCACATTTTACAAATAACTGGAGCATCATTAAAAAAAAACTAACAAGAACAAAGCGAATATCAATCATAAGAAGATTACACAGAACTACTGACACTGTAAAGTGTAAGACTAAAAAATAGGAATAGTTATGTAGTTATTTAAAGACAATAGAGTAGAACAGGGCGGCACGGTGGTGCAGTTAGAGCTGCTGTCACTCAGTGAGAAGGTTGCTGGACAAATCCCAGCCTTTCTGGATGGAGTTTGCATGTTCTCTCCGTGCATGCGTGGGTTTACTCCAGTTTCCTCCCACAGACCAAAAACATGCATGTTAGACTGATTGGTAACTCTGAATTGTCCCTAGGTGAGACAGTGAATGGTTGTTTGTCTCGTATGTGTCCCTGTGATGGACTGGAGACATGTCCAGGGTGTCCCCCGTCTCTTGCGCAATGACTGCTGGATATGGACACCAGTGACCCCTGCGACCCAGAAAGGAAGAAGCGGGTAAAGATAATGGATGGATGGATGGATGGATGGATAAAGACATGAACATACTTACATGTATACATCATGGTGTTGTTGAAGGTAACAGTGTGTGTGTGTGTGGGGGGGGGGGGGGGGGGGGTAAAGATTGAGCCAGTTTTATTATTAAAACTTGGGGTGCACTGATTGAAGTTTTCTGGTCGATCATCGATTTCTAAAAAGTCTGACCTGCCGATTCCGATTTGACCGTTACCGTTAGTTATGTTTTATAATCGACGCTGTCGAACTTGTTTTATTAAAAAACATAGCCTTGAACAACATGCGAGGAACAATACACACTTGTTTTAACTGGCCATGAGGTGGTGCTCTGAAATATAAATGAAATCCAGACAACACTTCATTTAAAAGGTTTAAAGGTCTCAACAGTCTGAGCGGTCTTTAAATGATCGGGTCAACGGCAACCGCAAAAGTCCGATCACCTCTGGACTTCAGTTTGGACCTGAGGACATCTAAGAGGAACTGGTTGGTAGACCGGAGTGATCTTATTGGAGCATAGATGTCAATAAGATCACATAAATATGACGGGGCCAGACCTTTTAAGACTTTAAAAACAAGCAATAAAATCTTAAAATCAATCCGGAAGTGGACAGGAAGCCAGTGGAGAGCAGCCAGGACAGGGACAAGAGTGGATCCAGTGGAGTGACCCTGTCTGACTTCATGGTCAAAAACAACTGAATTCATCAGCAAAGCAATGAAAAGGGATCCCATGCTTTCTATAAATAGACCCCAAAGGCAACATGTAAAAATTAAAAAGCAGTGGACCTTAAACAGACCCTTGAGGGACTCCACAGATTAGAGGAGCCGCAGATGATGAGCTTCAATGATGATGAATGTATTGTTTTATTTGCAGAAGTTGAAGTCTGAAGAAGCCTTTTTGTTTGTTTGTTTGATTCGGTCCTAGTGAGTGTAGCTGTGTCACCCAGTGCACAAAGTGACGGGGACAGTGGGACGTCTGAGTACAGAACGAGCAGAGATCTGATGGGAATCTCGTTTTAAATCATCTGTGCTGTGAGTTCTGTAGAGAATCTTAGTTGTGGGTTTGCATGTTTTTGTTGTCGAGTAAATAATGTTTGGCAGACCTTAGTCCAGAAGTCCATATCAGGAGAAATAAACTTAATACTGACAACTGTTAGTGATGTTTTACTTTGGGGAACCCAGCACTAGAAAAACATCCAGAACAGGTTTGCTGAGAACCAAAAATGAAATGATCTAATGTTTCATTAAGTAGAGTAGATCAACTATACAGGAAGATATTTAACTTTAAACAAACTAATGAACTTCTTTAATCTTGGGTGAGAGTGGAAAGTCCTTTCCTCAGAACATTATGACTATGAAGTGTAAACAGATGTTTTCTTTTTGAAACAGATGTTAAGCATGTCGCAGCTAATAAAACAGAAGCAGAAGAACAGGACACTGAAGATGATGAAGTGAGATTTTGGCAGCCATCTTGCAAAGAGCTATGTGTCCCATTGTACAGTTTACATGTGGAACCTTGTTAACGTCTCGAGGCTGCATGTTGCGTCATCAGTCCACAAATATGGAGATATTTTACTTAAATAAATATGAGCCTTCTGAGCATGTGTCAAAACGTCCAGCGATCCAGACGGGCTGGTTTTTGGTTGAGTGACTTATGTCCCTGGTGACGTCTCACATGTTCTAAACCAGTCCAGATGTTTTCATATGTGGGCCACAAAAATGTAAATTTAACTCTCAACGTGAATATATTTTAGAGAAAGGACAGAAGTTTACTAATGTTGGTGGAAAAAGAGTTTTAAATTGTTTAGATCCAAAACATTAAAAGCCTCATAAACACTACGCTAATATTTCTTATTAAAAATTATTAAATTTATTGTTTTTTTGGGGGGGGGTTGTTTGTTGTTTTCTTATTTGGAAAGTTCATTTTAGTCTGTTCTCTGCAACAAAAGCATAATTTGAGTAAATGTCCTTTTAAAAGAGGGCCGATCCGCGTTTTGGACCATGGACGACCCAAAAGTCTGATCAAGGTTGTGAACGCTCGTCCGGCTGTCAGTCGCTACAACAGATTCATAGAAGGTTTGATAAAGTTGATCAACTCGTATGCAGACGACACCACGTTATATTCATTAAAAAATGTCCAGTTTCCCTCTTGATTATTTTATCAACTGCAATAGTTTGACAAGTTTTATGAATCATTATCCAAAAGTCTCCTTTCGGGTATAAATCAGGTTTTTGGTGCTATGTTCCATGAAGTGAAAATAAAAAGGTTATAGACAAAAGTTTGTATTTTATTTAATATTGCTCATTTTGAGAAGATTGCTGTTAAAACTAATTATATAAAAAAATCATTACCAACTAATATGCAGGAAGTCTGCATCGACCTGTTAAGCCTGCTGGCCAAAATTATGACGTCCGCACAAAATCACCGCAAGGGCCGCAAATGGCCCTCGGGCCACACTTTGGACACCCGTGCTTCAAAGTGTTTACGGACAGACAGACATTAATCATGGGGGGGCATATTTAGTTCAACACACACAAAAAATTATCCTCTACAACGAACTCCAGGTTCAGTTTGCTGGAGCTTTGGGGGCTCGAATGGGCAGTATGTTTGTAATACACCGTGTTATATTATTATTGTTTAGTGTATCCTTGTATACTGTTTTTTTTTAATAGTCTATATTGCTATTTTGTGTCTAACCTTGAGTACACAATTTTGTTCCACCACATGTGATGCGAATGACAATAGACACCTTGAACCTTATCCAACTAAACAGTCACAGCTTTGAAGATGCACTCAAAGCAGAGCCTTTGTGGTTCAGGAGACTTGTCCTCCACCGTTTTATCAACTGTAATGTCGAAGGTTGACCAGGAGATGGTGCCAAACTGTGACGTCCTAATTATTCTGAACACTTTAAATCAATCAACCTTTATTTATACAGGTAAATCCCATTGAGCCTCGAGGACTCATTTACAAGAGAGACCTGATTTCAACAAAGAAAGATGACAACAATGGACAACAGCAACATCTTATCTAAAAATTATGCAGTAAAATTGGTCCATGCATTTGTCACGTCTAGACTGGACTATTGTAAACTGCTTCGTTAATCCAGCGACACGTGAAGCTTAAGTTCATAACATCTTCACATTCTAAGTCGCTGACAATTTTTACTCGAATAACAGGTTTGAATGTTCTTTCCTTGACAATTTAAAGAGGCGCCAGGACTTTTGATCACCAGCAGCCTCCAGATTTAAAAATTTTGCTTCCGAAATCTATTGATGGCGATTCCGCACAGCAGGCGAGAGTCCCTCACCGACCATGTGCCAAACATAGCAGAAGCCCTTTTATCGTAAACGACGGTTCTGTTCTTCCATATACAGACCTCATATGATTATCACTCAGGGTGAACGTATTATAAACATCTTAAACACGGGTTATCGTCCATACGTGTAAAAGTACTGTAAAAGCTCCTGATTCTTTCTGACTTTACGATAGATCAACATTTAGTCCAATATTTTTGTAGTTTGTATCATATTTTCTGCGAAATTTTAATAACCGAAATGCATGATGGGTAAAAGGCGCGGTTGTAACGTTTTGAGGCCTGTGATTGGTTGGTGTTTGTCTGTCGGTTAGTGTTGCGTTTAAGTACTGCAGGAATCTTAAATGACCTGAATAAAATGTAATAAAATAAAAATGCATCGTTTTGGGGGTCTAAAATGATTTTTTATTTCATTGTCTGTGCATTTAATGCTTTCTCTCCTGTTGGCCAGCATCCTTCTTTATTTTTTGTTTGCAATTTAATTTTGTTATTTTTTATATTTAATATATTTTATAATTTAAAGATAAGATAAAATAGAACTGTATTGATCCCGCAGGAAATTGATGTGCCAGAGTTCCAGTACAAAGAATGAATTTGTCATTATTTCTTTTGAATAGTATTCTTACTCTGAATGAACGGAGTGTTTTGGTTAGATATTTTATTTAAGGACCTCCATTAATCTTTACTATAGCAGAGACTATTTTTCCTGCGGTCCATACCAAGAAGCACAATACACAAATGTTCTGATCATTACAGTTAAAAATCTCACAAATAAAAAAGCTAAAAGAGAACAAGTTGTAGACTATAATAATAATAATAATTTAAAATAAGTCTACATTTCATTCAGAGATTAACAAACTCGTTCAGTTTAATATTATTTCATTATGTATTGTAAGTTTTTAAAGGTTCTTTTTAAAACTATCTTGATCTCCAGTCAGTGTTTTGTACAGAAAGCAACATATTCCAGTCTGGACTGGTTCTGATTACAGCTGTTGTTCTGAGGGCATACGTTCTGGATTCAAGGTTCTTTATTGTCATTCTCATCACATGAGGTACATGAGGTGTAACAAAATTGTACGCTAGGTCCCAGTTACATCCAAAATATCAAAAATATAAAGAATAAAAAATTAAACTGTATCCAAGGATCTGAAAAATACACTAAACACTAATAATGTAAAATAATATGGTGTATTAAACAGCAGCCTGAACATGAGTCTAACAGCCTCAGGGTAGAAGCTGTTCCTCAGTCTAGTGGTTCTACCCTTAATGCTCCTCAACCTCCTTCCTGAGGGGAGCGGGGCAAAAAGTGTGTGTGCTGGGTGAGTGGGGTCCTTCATGATGCAGGTGGCTCTCTTCCTGCATCTGGAGGTGTAGATGTCTGTGATGGTGGGGAGACTGACTCCAACATCTTCTGTGCAGCCTTCACCACTCTCTGCAAAGCTTTTCTCTCTGCAGCTGTGCAGCCTTCATGTCACACAGGCAGAGTGTAAAAGTAACAACAGATGTCAGCCTCGTATTAAACCATGCCTGTTAGAGGTAACTGTGAGAAATGATGTCAAATCCACATTTAAAGTAAAATAAAAGATGGATGCAGACTAGTCTGTCTCTGACCTTCATCATGACGGGTTTTGATGCATGAAGTTAACGTTAGTTCTAAAATGACATCCATGTGCTGATCTTCATTTTGAACTATCTGCAGTTTATCCAGATCTCTTTTGAAGCACGAGAGCAAACAGCTGGTGAAGGTGACCCCGGACTAAAGACTGTAAAACTAAACTTCTTATTTTGGGAGATAAAACGAACATTGCACCAAATTACTGAGATGTTTCTATTCATTTTAGTCACAGTCTTATGCATATGTGTGGATCATGATAGTAGTTGATCTATTTTAACACCCAGCAGTTTGGCCTTTTAAAGAAATATGAATCGTCTGAGTTAGTCTGACAGAAAGTTTAGGATTGTGTGCTGTTATTGAAATTAACTGATGGGACAGTGAACAAAAATAACAACATGCACAATGTAGAATCAATTTAAATCAAACAGATGAACTTATCTATCACTATATTTAGCATGTTGGTGGTTTGTTAAAGACTGATGCTAAATATTATAGCCTGGTTTTAATCCTAATCTAGGTCACAGTATTTCCTCAATCTGTCAGAAGATGGTGCCAAATATATGCTGAGAGAAAAAAAAGCAATCGATCACAAGTGTTTATTTTTATTTGACCAGTCAGTAACTCACATAAGAAAAATAATCTTTCACAGATTGAAAAGCAAAGACAAATATCATTCATCAAATAACAACTGTGAAATGTCATGTGTGAAATAAAAAAAATAAAAATTTAAAGTGTTATCTTACAGCACAAGCTGTTGCCTATTCCAGCCTAAAAATAAACCTTACACAATATTACAGTAAAAAAAAAAATCAAAGTTAATTTACATAAAACTAAATATTTTATTATTGGACCTGAGCATTTTAGGAATATTTTTTTCAGTCTTTCTCCCTCCTTGGATGGCATTAATCTGTCCTCCAGCTCTAATGTTAAAAATCTTGGTGTTATTTTTGATCAGGACATGTCTTTTATCCCCCACATTAAAATCGTTACTAGAACCACCTTCTTCCACCTGCGTAATATCACTAAAATTAGAAACATCTTATCTAAAAATGATGCAGAAAAACTGGTTCATGCATTTGTCACGTCTAGACTGGACTATTGCAATGGTTTATTATCTGGATGTCCAAATACTTCTTTAAAACGTCTTCAGTTGATCCAAAATGCTGCTGCCAGAGTCTTAACTGGAGTTACTGGGAGAGATCATATCTCTCCAGTTTTAACTTCTCTCCATTGGCTCCCTGTCAAATCCAGAGTAGAATTAAAAATCCTACTTCTAATCTACAAAGCTCTCAACAACCTAGCTCCATCTTATATTACAGATCTCATTGTTCCATATTTTCCTAACAGAGCACTTTGCTCTCAGATTGCAGGTTTACTTGTGGTTCCTAGAGTTTCCAAAAGCAGAATGGGAGGAAGATATTTCAGTTATCAGGCTCCTCTCTTGTGTAACCAACTTCCAGTTTCTGTCCATGAGGCTGACACATTGTTCAGTTTTAAGACTGGGATTAAAACTCTCCTTTTTGATAAATCCTATAGTTAGGGTCAGTTTGGGTTTCTTAAGCTGTCCATTAGCTATGCTGTTGTAGGCTTAGCTAAGGACTTAGTTACTTACGACTTAAGGATAGCTAAGGACTATTGTGCTGCTATCCCTTTCAAGTGAATATAGCCATAATAATTTAATCATGATGTTTAAATTGTACAGTTCAGTGTTTATGTTGGCTGCATTTTATGGCAAATTGATTAGATCCAAGTCCCGATGGCTGTTGGACATGAGTGATACAAAATGATGTCCATAAAATAAATCATTTGTTAGTTTTATTATAATGTTTAAACATTTTATGATTATTTGTCTTGTTCTTGTTTATAGCTAAGACAGTTCATAATTTTTACTGACTCAAATACTATTTTCAGGATAAATGTTTCTCATTAAATAAGATTTGTTTGAATTCATCTTGTCAAAGTCAGACGTTTTAGTGAAACAAAAACAGATCCTGGTGGATGAACAAGAACAGTATTTTATTTTTTGAATAACAATTTTATTTGAAACACTGAAACTTTGTATGGTAAAGTTGGCAGAAGATGTAATGTTCTAGCTCCTAAAAAGCCACCTTTTGTTTGTTGTTTAATGCTACAGTGTTTTCTAGTTCATTTTCAAGTTCATGTATATTTCAATTCAATTCAGTTTATTTATACAGCACCAAATCACAACAAAGTTGTCTCAGAACACTTTACAGGAACATTCACATAAAAGCCAATTAGTAAAGTTCTCTATCTAAGGAATCCAGCAGACAAGATGAATCTTGGCTTCGTTGCAGTCTCCCATCCTGAGCAAGCACAGTGGCAACAGTGGAAAGAAAAAACTCCCTTTTAAAAGGAAGAAACCTCCAGCAGAACCAGGATCAGGACAAGAGACCATCTACTTTGACCGGCTGGTTGAGAGGACAGGAAGGAGAGACAGACGAACACAGAATGGTAGGTCCAGGTATAGGTCCAGATGTATCTGAAAGACAAAAACATGTTAAGGATAGAAAAAATAATTACAAATACAAAACATGTTGAGCAGAGTAAGTAAAGACAGTAGCAGAGTGAAAATTGTGGTCAGTTTGTCCTCCAGCAGTCTAAGCCTATAGCAGCATAACTAAGGGACAGACCAGGAAACCCAAGCCGACCCTAACTGTAGGATTTATCAAAAAGGAAAGTCTTAAGCCGAGTTTTAAAACTGGATAATGTGTCAGCCTCATGGACAGAAACTGGAAGTTGGTTCCACAAAAGAGGAGCCTGATAACTGAAAGATCTGCCTCCCATTCTGTTTTTGGAAACTCTAGGAACCGCAAGTAAACCTGCAGCCTGAGAGCAAAGTGTTCTGCAAACAGACCACAGGTTGTGAGACTGAACGGTTGTGTGTCTAACCAATTGGTCAGTGATTCAGGAGCACCACAGGGGACTGTACTCTCACCATTCCTTTTCACTCTGTACACTTCAGATTTCCAGTATAAAACAGACTCCTGTCATCTGCAGAAATATTCTGATGACTCTGCAGTGGTCGGGTGTATCAGAGATGGACAAGAAGCTGAGTACAGGGAACTGGTGGACCACTTTGTGGTATGGTGTGGAAATAATCATCTCATCTTGAATGTGAACAAAACAAAGGAGATGATTGTAGATTTCAGGAGAAAAGGGAACAGGTCCAACCCTATTTCCATCATGGGAGAAGAAGTGGAGGTTGTGGAGAAGTTTAAATACCTTGGGGTTCACCTGGACAACACACTGGACTGGAAATGCAACAGTGAAGTCGTCTACAAGAAGGGACAGAGCAGACTGTACTTCTTGAGGAAGCTGAAGTCCTTCAACGTTTGCAGCAAGATGCTGCATATCTTCTATAAGTCTGTTGTAGAGAGCACCATCTCTTCTGC